CCGAGGCGAGACAGACGTTGCGAAAGAATAAAAAGGAGATTTGAGGAGAGGAAGAAACATTTTAAGGAAAGTACTGCCCTGGTAGAAGTCTTGAGGAGGAGGTGCAAGCGAACAAGCATCTTGAGCTTGCTCTCTGGTATCACCCTTAGTACGGCCTCCGAGGCCTGTCATGTGCCTAGTAGTAATCTACAACAACCTGGTGCGAGGAACGAGCCTCGTGGGGCCCTTATCAGACATACAAGTGTTCTGGGTTGTGGCCCCCAGCAAGCCTCGTGCCCGCCCTAAGTGAAGGTGGGCCTGAATATTCAAGTGAGACCTGATTTCAACATTTTCCATATGTGGGGACTCAGACGGTTGCAGCACGCCAGTTGGTTACAGAGCAATGTGAACCTCCAGGCTCTTTCCAGAAGCAAGGGCTGCACTGTACAGTTGAGCCAAGGGCTCAGGTGTTTGCGCCTTGGGCACACGGTGCATGAGGTTGACGAATCATGGACTGGCCGCGGGCCAATGAGAAAGCAGCATTGTCGTCACACGTGCCGCGAGGCAGTGAGAATGCTTGGATGGCTGCCTGGACGTGCGTAACTGCACAAGGCCCAGGCCAGTATCTGAAATTGGACGTGGGTGCAGACACTTGGGGCCAGAGTCAAGCTATTGGGCCGTCCACACGCCTGGCCATGCCAGCCAGCAGTGGGCACAGATTCCATAAAGGATAGTGTGTGCCCCAGGGGTGGGGCGTTCTGGCCTGAGCAGGCATTGCAACCACGCTGTTGCATTGTTGGGCGATACTGCGCTATGCAGGCAGGCTGGGGCGCACGCGGGCGCTGCGGTCGCAACGTGCGCATGGTGGCCATAGCCGAGCCAAGCGTGCGGGAGCAGGTGTGACGATGGTGGTCTTCCGGTAGGAGGCGCATGAAGAGGTGAACGAAGGGGTGATGAGGGGAAGAGAGAGAACGTACCTGGTGTATGCTGGTGATCGACATTGGTGTTGACGTCACGTACATTCGTCTTCGACTTCGATGTGATCCAGTCCCATGAACGTAGGAAGATAGGGCGAGTAGTGTAGGCTGGGCGTTTGGCACCTGATAGTAGAAGCGACAATGGATACAATGTTGGTGTGACCAGAGAGCGTCGGCATTGGCACTTGAGTTCATTGTATTGCTCTTATTTGGATGGTATCTTGGTGCATTTGTGCTATCTGCTTCGTACAGGACTATCTGGACTAACTGCGTGATTTCAGAAATTGGTTTTCTGTCTATCGCTCTCGCTCATATTCCTTGCACTGGACTTTTACTTGAAAAAAAAAGAAAAAAAAGTATGGCCTCTGACTTAGCTGCAGCATGGGCTGAAGTAGAGGAGGTTAGGAAGTGGCGGGATGAGTGCCCTCGATACTGGTAGGGTGATGGTCCTGAGTGCTGGTCACACTAAGGTAGGATAGTAGGGACAAGGGGTGCGCTGGCAGTATTAACGTGGGGATGGGTAGGGTAGGTGGCCTACCCTGTCAGGACAATCATTGGCTGCCACTCCCAACAATCATCGCGGGTCTCATCCACTTCAGGGTCTGATGATCAGTCCTAACGATGAAGAACCTCCCAAGGAGGTAATGTCTCCAACGGGCCAGTGCCTTGTAAATCACGTAGAGTTCTTTCTCATAAGTGGACTTAGCCAACTTCTGAGACGGCATCTTTTTGGACATGTACTCAACTGGCCTCAACTTTGGCCCCTCCTGCTGCGCGAGCACGGCGCCTATGCCATATTGACTAGCATCCGTGGTTACTATAAACGGCTTGTCAAGATCAGGAAGTTTCAAGACCTCGTGGTGCGTTAACACATGCTTCAGATGTCTTAAAGCAGCCTCGCATGTCTGTCCACTCCCATGGGGTGTCAAGGCGCGTCAGGTCAGTCAAAGGGGAGGCCACCATGCTATAGTTCTTTACAAATTTGTGGTAGTAGCCGGTCATCCCTAAGAAAGACCTCATCTCAGTCACAGATTGAGGACGCGGCCAGTCACGAATGTTGGCCACCTTCGCGTCATCGGGCTTTAATCCCTCCGCGGAAATCTCATGACCCAAGTACAAGATACGGGTGCGGCCAAACTCGCACTTCTCACCGTTGATCTTGAACTTGTGCTGTCGAAGGAGACTAAGGACTTTGTCCAAATGAGCTACGTGCTCTTCGACAGTCCTACTAAAGATATGTATGTCATCGAGGTACACGATGACAAACTTGTCCAAGTAGTCATGAACGATCCGATTCATCGCGTGCTGAAAGGTGCCAGGAGCATTGCAAAGGCCGAAAGGCATCACCACAAACTCGTACAGACCGTACCTGGTCTGAAATGCAGTTTTGTGTTGATCCTCGGGCCGTACAACAATCTGATGGTACCCGGACTTCAGATCTATCTTAATGAAGTACCGACACCCTTGCACTTGATCTAACAAGTGGTCAATGCGAGGTAGGGGCTCTCGGATACATACCCTCCTCCGGATTTTGCTTGTAATAGTTATAGAACGTGGCTGCACACATGCATCCGTAGGACTCAATTAGACCACTAGCTTTGAGCTTACGTAATTTGGCGGTCCCCCCCACCTGGCAAAGTGTGTTTGACCACTTTTCGGTCCCGGTCAAACTGGGGCTGTGCAACGGAGAGGTAGTACATACCTAACAAGATATCCATAGGGAGATCATCGCTCACTAGGAACGAGACGAGACGTCTCAGTTCCCCTCCCGCATACGGGAAACAACACTCGACATCCTGGAGGTAGTCATTAACTACCATGCGTTGTTTGTTGGCACAGGTCGACTCCACATGTCGACTCAGGCGCTGCACTTGCCCCTGTAAGCGCAGCCTCTCAACGCACGCGCGACTGATCTAGTTCCTTGTCGAGCAATTGTCACAATAGGCCCCGGCCTTGCGGCTGCCGATGACTACCTCACCGACAAACATCTCTCCCTTAGGGGCTTTAGCCAATGCCGTCCAAGAAGCTAGTGGGTTTGATCTAGACCACTCCTCCTCTAGCTCCTCTAAGGACTCAAACGCATTCATCGAACAGAGGTTCGATGGGTCTAAATGTGTTTGCGGGACGATGATGGAGTCAGTAGCTTGGGCCATCTCTCGAGATGGTGAGGGTTTGTCCATTACCTCGACCCTAGCAGGAACAACTACTATTCCTACTGGCCCGATGCGTTTCTTGGAGCAGTGCCAGAACTGCTGGCCACATTGCCAACGGGAGCGGAGGATCCCAACGCCTACCCCATCATAGGCGGGATCTTGTCGGTCACCTTCTTATTTCGGCACTTGAACTGGTTATGGCCGTATTGGCCACAACGGATACGAGTCTGCCGCGTGTACCGATCTCTCCAGACGTCCTCACTAAGACCCGCTTTCTCCCATGGAGGAGTGTTGGGGTTAACTTGACTCCTTGACTCCTCGGCGTCAACCGGTCGCCTTACCTTTTTGAGCTACGACAGTGACTTCTCCAACCCCTGAAGCTTCTACGCTCCCAGCCTCTGAACCCACTCCTGCCTGAAAGTTGTCGTCCAACTCGATGGTAGAACCATCGTTGTCGACGAACATTATACGTCCCTTCGCTTTCCAGTTGGGAGGCAGCGACTTCTTCCTACCATCCGTCGTGGGAGTCTGACCATGCCCTATCTTTGCTTCAAGGTCTAGGGCCTTCTTGCTAAACGAGGGGAAGTTGTGCATATTGATGTTGGCCTCACTTGCCAACTGATTCTTGAGAGGCATGGGAAAGCATCTCAGGTAGGAGGTGAGTAAAACTTGGGGGTCATAGCGCACCCCAGAGACAGAGATCAGACGCTCTAGTGCGTCAATGGCCTCTTAACTGACTTAAACTGCCTGGTATGCAGTGTCAGGATCGCGTCGGTAGCCTTTTGGGCCTCCTGAGGATCATGCCAAATGTCTTCCACCGACTTGAGGAAGTCATCCAGTTTCTGGGTGACCGCCCAAGCGCGAAAGTCATGACCGTACCCCTGTAGCTGCACTAAACCACTCAACGATCTTGCTGCACTCCCCTCTAGATAGGAGGCAGCCACAAGCACTTCCTCGTGCGGCAAGGTAAGTTTGCATTTGACATAGACTGGCACTGCCCTCAACCATGTGTCGAGGTCTTCGCCCCTTTTATCCCCTGTAAAGGGTTTAGGAGCAGCGATGGCCGTCGTTGGAACCCACTGACTTTGTCTCGGTACCTGCACCGTTCCGGGCTGTGGAGCCTGTGGTGCAGGATGCTGCACTAGCTGCTGCTGGGGCTGTGTACCCTGCGACTGTGCAGGCTGCGAGACAGCAGGCTGCCCGCTTACGACAACCTGCAACGGAGGTTGGGAGAACACTGTTTGTACAGGAATCTGTACACTAGGACCTGCTGAGAACCCGCCTGTTAAAGGCATACCCAGGGAAACGGGCTGGACCGATGTTGGAGCTGTATATGGGGATACCCCAGTCACCGGTGGAACAAAAGGAGGAGGATGTACAACGGACCAGACGCCGGGCCCGAACGGTGATGGTGCCGCCTGCACTCGCCCGACCAACACAACCAGACTTTGCGGGATGTCCTGTAAGATCTCCGTCTGGTGATCTTGCATCTCTACCACACCTAGCAAGACCGCCCTTAGGGTCCTCACTTCATCATCCAAGTCTGCAGGGTCCGTCTCCTCTAACTCACTAATGTCCGCTTGTCTCCGCTGCATCCTGGCTCTTGTTCTAATCATTCGCTCTTTCTCTGCCTTAATCTCACCCAAAGCCTGCTGTAGCTGTGCCTCACGATCACCAGCTCGCTGTATGAGGTCGTGGGGAGTCATTACTAACGGCTGGCTTGCCATTACACCAGTTGACGGACTCGGGGTCTGTGCAACCGTTGACCCTACAGATTCTGAACTGCCGGCCTGGGAACTCTGCTGCGCAGCAGTTGCCATGGCTGCTGAAGCGGCGGCTTTGCTTGCGAACGCCCTGCTTGCCTCTGCGGCCCTAACCCTCCGCTGCTGCTGTTGTCTCTCCCTCTGCTGACGGAACAGGTATCTGTCGCCCTCTGGTCCTAACGCCAAGTGGGCTATCGGGCGTCTTGCCGATCGCAAGATCCTATCGTCTGGTTGTCGGACCTCCCTGTCGCCCATAAGCTACAATACTGCACACGGTCTGCACTAGGGCACTCATTCGATGCCTATCACAGCGTCATGCACAGTCCGATTTAAAATAAATAAACTAATTAATTGGTGGCTATGTCAGAGACTATACATTTGGGTTCAACAGGTAAGTTCAGATTCCTACAAATGAAATCTATGTTACTTTGACTAGTCCGCAAACAGAAAGCACAATGAACAGATAACAGTTCTAACTATGCTGTCATATGTTAATGGCTGTACGTCTAACTAATTAAAATAAAAATAGAATCATTTGTTGGGTCTGTTTGCAGAGTGGAATCTTGCCCAAACTTATCACCTGGAATCTACCCCTCCCTTGGTTCTTCCTGAATGTCTCTTGTCGTCAACGTTACTGACCAATCCGGACAGCGTGTGTGTCTAAAGGTGTGCACACGGCCCACCCCTGTGCCCTGAGTCCTGCTGAGCTGGCCAGCCCTGCACAGTCTTTATCCTCGTGTGCAGCGAGCCTTACACCGACCGATTGGCTGATCAGGAGGCGTTTTTTATGGACGGCCCCGGAAGTCCTCAGGAATTATTTAATGTCGCAAACAGGACGACGATCACAGCCAATGGAAGGTACCCTTATAGACGCCCGGTCTCGTCTGTCCCATAGGGCTGGCCTGCCCTTCAGAACCCTTCTACAGCGCAGCGAGCAGACAAAGGACAAAGCAGCAAAGCATGCGTGCCCTACTCCCGGTGGGTTGGCATGGTGCCCGTGACCCAGTGCTTCGTCCAGGGCCCTTCAGATAGCACCGCCCTCTCCTTCCAGATGCTCCACGTGAAGATTGACGACTCTCAAGGTTGAGCGCACACGACTCCTCACATGAGAGGACTCTCAAGACAGAACGCACATCCTCACGGTAAGAAGTGTCGAAGAGGGTAGATAAGGTTAGGTGCAACGTACCTCAATATAGCTGCCCCCAACCACAAATATTCTCTCCAGATGACCCGATGTTGATTGTGATGACCAATCGCTGCTTCGGCACAACCAGCATTGTACCACCGTTCCACCTCAGCATCAATCACACATCGAATAGTTCTCATCACACTGCGAATACCCAATATACACCACGTAGCCTTCCCGGCGATACCCCTCTCCGCCTGGGTCGCCTTCTTATCTCCGCCCTCCTCACTACACACGTCCCATGGCACGATCGCTCACTGCACACACCGTGTGTATGCACCACATTAGGCAGAAGATAAGCGCCAGATTAGCGCACCGAACCACAGCTCCGATACCAAATTGCAAGGAAGATGAGCAATAGCGAACGTCAGCAATCAAACAGCATCATGCACATGAGACCAGATAGTCGTGACCTCGAACCAATAGCAGAATTGCATCACGAGTTTCACCAAATAAGAGCACACCAAAAGCTCATAATTGACAATGCTGGAATAGTCTCATCATCATCAACGAAGAACCACTGTTGATATCCTATCTGACGCTTGGCGCCCAGACTACGAATGGCAGATCCTATCTAGCCTAGACTACAATGCCGCTCATGACGTCAACAGCTTCCCAAGTACGAGCAGATCTCGGCCAATGCCGCACGCGCCAAGCACCAGGTATGTCTCTCGTATCACTCACAACCTCGTTCCCCAACTCACAGATGCCACTTGCACCCAAGGACCACCATGCGCCCCATCCAGCATACAGCAGCGCAGCTCGGCTATAGCTGCCTGCTCCTTCCAGCTCGCCCGTGAGCGCGTGAGCCTGGCCAGCGTTAGCACAGCAGCGCTTGCGCAGCATGCAGCCAGTGCCCGAATGTCCAATGCGTGGCACAGGCCCTTCCCTATATCGAAGTGGCCTGCTGTTGCGTGCTGTGCTGCGGTACTGGGCCCCGGCCCAGAAGCTTCCGGTAGGCCCAGGGAGGCTGAGCCTCAGTCCAATCGAATCAGACCCGGGCCACCGACAGTTACCAGTGCCCAACTGCCCATAGTCTGAGGTGGGGTTCATGCTGCGTATCTCGCCCAGGGCCTGACTGAGATACATTTGATAAAGGAGGACAGGGCCTTGGTGCCTTCAACCAACTGGCGCAGCGCAACTGCCTGAATTTTACCCCAGTTGCGAAGTAGTCCAAAATAGGCCTCTTGTCGTCTGCCGAGCCTGCCTTCACTTAGGGCGGCCGACCTGTTGCAAATAAGGGCCCGGTAGGGCTTATTGATGCCTTGTGCCTCTCATTTGTCTTTTTTCTATAAAAAAACAACAACCCAACTCAGTTAGGCCACTTGCTTCTTTTTGTGGTTGGTAGTGGAGCGAGGTCATGAACACCACTGTGGGTCTGACCATCGACCTCGCTCCACAATCCTCCCACATGCAGAAACGACAAAAAATATGGCAATGTATCTTTCCATGTTCTAGCAGAGGATTTAGTGTCCTTTTGCACATTTGGAGACACGCATGGGTCCTTGCTCCGCTACTCTTCAAATTTGCAAATTGAGACTGGATCATCCGCTAGAACATGGAGAGTAGCAGGGCGAGGCCCATGGTGTTCAATATTGGAGCGAGGCCCTAACACCGCTTCGGGTCTGACTATTGGCCTTGCTCCACAACTCTCCACGTGCACAAATGACAAAAAAATGGCAATGTTTTCAGTCTCATTTTGCACATTTGGAGATACGCATGGGTCCTCGCTCCTCCGCTACTCTTCAAATGTGCAGAATGAGACTGAATCCTCCGCTAGAACACGGAGAGATACATCGCCATATATATTTTTTTCTTTTGTGCATGCGGAGAGTAGTGGAGCGGGGGGTATTACCCGCTCTTCTGTGCATGCAGTGAGCAGTGGAGCGAGAATCTACAGGAAAGAAAAAAAACAAAAAAGAGACTCGACGAATCTACTCAATAGAAGGAATCTACATTGGTCTCGCTCCACCACTCACCGGAGTGTCCCAGATGAGAACGAATCTTACGCCAGGAAACGGCAAGATACACCGCCATATGTTTTGTCTTTTGGGCGTGTGGTGAGTAGCGGAGCGAGGCGGAAACCAAAAATTGTACGCACAGTGCTCTCGTGCATGCGGTGAGCAGCAGAGTGTGGGGTGGCGGTGTCCTCTGTACTTGTATTTGAACGTGTGCGGAAGACGGGAGTGAAAAGACAAAAACAAAACAAACTGCCCAGTCCCTGCTGGGACCAAAAGTGCCCCTCATGTTTTCCCACCACTGTAACCTGGGCCATAAAGGGGCGTCACACGAGACCCGAGTTTCCCTTTATAAAGAGAATAAAATAAATATTTAAGTATATAGAAAAAAAAAGAAAAAACACCCAATAACTATACCTAGTGATAAAGATGCTAGGTTTACAACAGCTGATGAAGGTATACGTATCACAATTAACCATGTTGTCCCGTAGACATCCTGCGACTAACGGACAGACAGAACAAACAAATAGGTTGTTACAACGCGAACTCTTTGCATGTATATTAGACCAGATCGGATAGATCGGGATGAGCATTTAACAAAAGTAGCCTGTGCACATGATAATTCTGTACATCTGTAACAGGGCGGACACTGCACATCGGTTGGAGACCTGCATACCAATCGAGTGTCTAAACCCTGGTCGGATCCACAGGTTACAGCCCAGAACCCGTGAATTTGCACTGCAATATGAGAAGGGCCTTCAGAAAGTTGCAAAGAACAGCAGATATGCCCACCTAGAAACGATAGTGCAAAGCTAATAAGCATGGACCACTGTCTAAGTTCCTTGGAGGAGATTTAGTTTGGGTGAAGTCTAAGGAGTTTGTGCCAGAGGAAGGTATTTCCCGGAAATTGCTGCCTGTGTTGTAGAGAACCGCGGGAGACGCAGATGCCCCACCCTACGTCATTGATAAACCGCCACACCTACACACTTATCCTGTATTCCATGCATCTAGGTTGCTGCCGTGCATGTCGGATAAGTCATACCCTTTGCGCAGGTTGATGATTCCCCGCAGGTCAATGATTCCCCCTGATGCATAGAAAAAATATTGCATAACAAAATAATCTATTGCGTGCTTTATCAACTTGCTCGATTGATCAAAACTGGATGGTAAACATGACATAGATAGATATCAGGCAAAGATATTTACAGATCCAGTAGACTGTGATGAATGCTGCCACAGTAGGAGACTAGGTTCCAATATCAGGAACCTGAAGATGACCCACGACGAACTCACGGAGACAACCCCTGAACTGATATAGCCTCACACACTGAGCGCGCTAAAAGTGGCATCTGTGTTGGAGACAGACTACAAAGACCGTAGCCTTCTCAGTGGACCTAAAAAATAGGCTGGCGGCAGTGGCGGGTGTGAAAGGATTTCACACATTTGTCAGGTTAAGTCCCAGTCCCGGTCCCACAATTCCCGAAGTCCTGAGTCCCATGTATCGTAGCCAACCTGGTAGGCCCAGTAGTATGGTAGCAGCCAGAGGGTCTGATAGGTTGTCCTTACAAGTCTGTCGGTAGGTCATTTGGCTAGAGTGTCGAATCGTGGGCACCATCCAGAAATAGCAGCTCAGTCCACGAAAGTCCTCTACCTACCGGAAAGCGAAGGGTCGACCATGGCCGACAGGCAAAGGGGCCTGGCACCAGTCCAAAGTCCAAGATTGGGAACAGCACCAAGGCAAAGAAGGTCCTGCAGCCACTGGATGCCAACGCAATTTCCAGTTGAGTTTGTCATGAAAGCTCTGCAGCATACTTGTGCGGTCATCCGAGGAGTGAGACCTGAGACAGAGAGAGTGTAGTCCATGGCGTTAGGTGCCATAGCTAGGGGGGAGTGGAAGAAGAGGGGGGGGGGGGGG